AAGTATAGCCACTCCGGCTCTCTTTTGTTTACCATGTACCTGGAATGTTTTTTTCCCATTCCTTCACTTTCAGTCTATGTTTGTCCTTAAAGCAAAAGTGATTCTCTTGTAGAGAGTATATCATCAGATCTTGTTTTTCTGTCATTCTGTGTTTTTTGATTATAGAATTCACTTATATTTAAAGTATTTATTGATAACCAACTGGTTAGAGTGCAGTGTTGTAACACAAGGGTCAAGGGTTCGGATCCCCATATCAGCCAGCTGCCAAAAAAAAAAAATACAAAATAAAGATAAAGTATTTGTTGATAGGTAAGAGCTTACTATTGTCTTTTTAGTTGTTTTCTGAATATTCTGTAGTTCCTTTGTTTCTTTCTTTCTCTCACTATCTTTATGATTTGATGTGTGGTTTTGATTTTTTTTATCTTTTGTGCTTCTACTGTGCTTCTAGGTTTTGTGTGTGTGTGTGTGTGTGTGTGGTTACCATGAAGCTTACCTAACACACCATATAGTTATATCAGTCTGTATTAAGCTAATAACAACTCCAATTGTATGCAGAAACTCTGCACTTTAACTTCTCCCTCCACATTTTGTGTTATTGATGTCACAACTTATTTTATATGTTGTGTATCTATTAACAAATCATTGTAGATATATTTATTTTTAAAACTTTTGTCTATTAATTTATTTTTTACTTTTTTCTTTTAACATTTATACTAGAGTTTTAAATGATTTATGCACCACCATTACAGAATTAAAGTATTCTGAATTTGACTACATTTTTACCTTTTTATAGTAAATTTTATACTTTCATATGTTTTCATATCATTAGCATCTTTTAGTTTCAACTTGACAGAACTCCCTTTGGCATTTCTTTAAGTGAGGTCTAGTGATGATGGATTCCCACAGCTTTTGTTTGTCTGGAAAAATCTTTATCTCTGCTTCATTTCTGAAGGGTATAGTAGTCTTCATTTGCAGTTGTTTTCTTTTAGCACTTCGAATATATCATTCCACTCTCTTTTGGCTTGCAAGGTTTCTGCTGAAAAATCGCTGATAGTCTTATGAGGGTCTCCCTGTATGTGACAAGTCACTTTTCTTTTGCTGTTTTCAAAAATCTCTCTGTCTTTGGCTTTTGAGAATGTGATTATTATGTTTCTTGGTGAAGATAGCCTTATATTTAATCTACTTGGGGTTTTGGGGGATTCATGGATGTGGGTGTTCATTTCCTTCTTTGGATTTGGGAAGTTTTGTGATTATTTCTTTATATAAGCTTTCTGTTCATTTTTTTTCTTTGCTCCTTTTAGGACTGTCATAACGTAAAGATAAGTTCACTTCACAGTATCCCATAAATCCTATGGGATTTCTTTACTATTTTTCTTTCTTTTCCTTTTCTTCTTTTCTTTTTTATTTGCTTTTTATTCCTCTGAATAATTTCAAGCTTGCTGATTCTTTTTTTTTGTTTCATCAAGCAACTGTTGAAGCTCTCTATGGAGTTTTGTTTTGTTTTTTTTTCAGTTCAGTCATTGTGTTCTTTAGCTCCAGAATTTATTTTATTCCTTTTGTTCATCATCCTTGTGTCCTTATATTGGTGACTGTACATTTGAAAACATAGGCACCTCTTCCAGTCTTTACAGATTGGTCTAGGCATGGAAAACCCTTCACCAGTCAGATCATCCAGAAATTCTGGGTGGGCCTTCTGCTAGAGTCTTCAGGCAGACTGGCCTGGTGCCTATGTTAGTGGGTGGATAGCCTTGGTGCCTGAGTTCACAGGGGCCAGCCTTATGCCAGGGTTCAGCGGAACCCAATGAACTTGGTTCCTTGTGGAACCCAATGAACCTGGGTCCACAAGGTTAGGGCTGGAGCTGGATCCATGGAGTCCACAATGAAGTTGGGTGTGCGCTTCACTTTCCTTACCCTACATGGAGGGTCTCCCTCTGTGCTGTGTTGCCCAGGCTTGGGGGAGGGGTGACATGGATAATGTGAAACTGTCTTTCCTACCCTCTTCAATGCATCTTTTGTTATTTCTGTGCTTGCCCCGGGTGCTATAGTCTCTCACATGGATTCCTTTGCTTTTATGAAGGTATTGTCATATGTAGCTGTTCAAATTGATGTTTCTGCAGGGGGATGAATGCTGGAATCTCCTATTCTGCTATCTTGTTGATATCACTTCCCTAACTTTTTCTTGAATATCTTGTTTTGAATTTTTTGTGTCAGCTTTTCTAAGTGATAATTATTGCTACTTTTCTTTTTTTAGAAAGTGTTATATTTGCCAGACTTTAGCATTGTTACATAGTTTTTCTAAAGAGAGTTAGGAACATTTCCACTTTTATCTGTTCTGTAGAATAATTGAAATAGTATATAGGAATTACTCATAACAAGATTAGAAAGAATTAATTCATGAGCCTTCTAGATCTGAGACTTGTTTTTGAGG